GCGAATAATTTAAGAACCCAATTATAGTAAAAGTGCGATAACCATTTAGAATAATAAGGCACCGAGTGAGATAACGAGTTCAAACTTAAGAGGAATATAGACTAAAGCATGTTAATAATTATTTTATTTAAACCATTATGTTACCAATAACTCAACAGAATATGATATAGTGACTCCATGCAATTAAATTCACATTGACAATCAATTCACCAAGTTATATTGGAGGCACAGATTGGCATGTTAAAGCAACACAACAAATCACGTAGAATGCATGACTCACACAAGAAACCACAATCGTTCCAACACCAAGATAACAACAAATAATCAAACACAATCAAAATGTGGATGAATGATTGAAGGAAGAACAATGACCGTTTAAATCAACAAGTTGTTCCAACATGGAATGTACAATGAAAATCATAACCGAGGTACCGCCTCGTATTCGCATTTCATAATTTTAATCACAATCTTTCCTTATATCACCGCGTGAGCTTTACATTTAGTTTTGAAAATTATTTTTTCCGAAATAGCTTCACGCGTTATAGCCCACCTTATCTCACCGCATGGCTTCAAGTAGTTCCCCTACTAACAATATGTGTATCAAGCCAACCTTATCTCACCGCATGCATATCAACCCCTATCCTTATACCACCGCATGCGTATCAATATCACAACACAATCACAACTCGCATCACAAGTTCCCATATGCCACAACTTGCCACAAAGTCAAAAGTACCAATATTTCCAATACAAATAGCACATGTATCAACCACAATGTGTACAAGAATTTCAACAATAACAAAATAAATGAGAATGCTCAACAAGGAAAGATATCTCAAAAATTAACAACTTCGCCTCAATATGATAATGGCTTATTAACAACTTCAACACCAATAACTCAACAAGATGATATTCCACAAAATACCAACTTCAATTAAAAGTGATTCAACAATTAAAAGGTAACAAGACAATAAGGAACACAATAACTTCAACTAAAGCATATAAGAGAAAAATAACAAGTAAGAGGTAGAACAAGTGCTAACAACGTCAAATAGAGCATGTAAGAATAGATTAATGATGAGAGATATAACATATTATGACAATTCAATTAATGGCATGGAAAGAGTCTAGATAATCTAAACCGGTGAAATATCACATATAGCCCGTGTACCCACTCGTCACCTTGCGTACACGGTTTTCACATAACACAAATAGTACAATCAACCCAAATCCTAAGGGGTAGTTTCCCCCACACAAAGTTAGGTAAGATACTTATCTCAACTAGGCCAACTCAACCCTCCGAAAAGATAAGTGAGGCTTGCTCAGTTGGTAAAAGCACCTCCAGACTGTTAGGTCCTGGGTTCGAGTCACGCTGGAGGGGAAGTATGGAAACACTATAGATCCTCCTAATTTAGAGGGGTTTTATAAAATTAAAAATAAAAATAACCCCTCCAAAATAGCTTTTCCCCTAAAATTTGTCTCCACACGTCTCAAATCTAACCAAAAATGATTTAATAACATCAAACAATGCAAGAGAATCTAATTACAATAAATAAAGTTATGATCTTTATATTTTTCCAAAAAAGTCAACAAAGGTCAATTTCGGGCCCGCCTTGAATTCTGAATTTAAGCTTACCCGAGCGAAACCCGAACCAGTACAAGCTCACACGAATGAAAACCGACTCAATCGGAGTCCGATAGCTCAACCCATTCTCCAAAACATCGCTCTTGGGTGTTCATAATCCAAGAGTCCAACCCATACTAATTAGGTCTCATATCTCCCAATATACTCCTCCAAAACTAGCCCAATTCGAGTATGTTGTTCTGCTAATATAGGACAACAATATCTGAAAAGGAATCGGGAAATAAATGGCTCTAATGCATTTTCAATTTATAAAATTTAGGACATAATCCTAGGTCTTGATTTAAAGAATTAAATGGGTTTTCAATTAAAATCATGGATTAAAGCTCAAACCAAGGGATTGAATCAAACGAAAATACTTAGGTTATGGTTTAGACCTTACCCCATGGAAAAAACTTGAATAACATCCTTAAATTCTCCCAATCCCAAACTTTCAAGATGAGAAAAACTCCAACAATATTAGTAGCCAAAAACACCCAACTATTATGCCTCATTTATTATGCCAAACAATCTTGAAACTCGCTTGTGATGCCTCCAATGGATTCCTCATAAATTTTCAGTCAAGTTAGGCTTTTGAATCACTCCATCTGACCTTATAATGAAGGAGATATGTTGGTTTCAATATTTGGAAATAGTGTCGATTTTTAAATACGAATTTAATGACAATTTCTTAATTAATCTGAAAAATCTGGCAACCCAATTCTTAGTAAAATGACCATAAATTCATCATACGATATCGAAAACTTGATGATTTTAGTTGCTAAGGTTCCAAAATTATGATACGGGTATAATTTACTTAGTCGAAGCACGAATCAAAGGCCGTTTGCTCAATATGGTAACCTTTATGCTCAAATCGACGTCGAAATCAAAAACAATCACCATACAACCCAAACTTATCCAAAAATCATCGGAATTTAACCAAACTTTGTGGACATTTTCAAAATCATCATAAAAACTTTCTGGAATAATTAAACCCCGATTCCGAGTCTGTTTACCATTGGAACACTTAAAGACCATTCTAGGGTTGTTTCCACAAAAGTCAAACCTTGGTAAACTCTCACAACTTAAGCTTCCAAACAAGGAACTAGGTGTTCCAATTCAATCCAAAACCTTCTTGAAACAAAACCAACCATCCCTGCAAGTCAAATAACAATAAATACACATACGGGAAGCTTCAAAAAGGAAAACGGGGCTCAAATACACAAAATGACTGGTCGGGTCGTTACACCGAGCCCCTCGGGCTCCAATCCAAATATTCACACACGTGTAATACATCATAGTAACTCGCTCGCAAGCTCAAATCCTCAAAATAACATCAAAATTCAAGAATCGGTCATTAAAATGCAAGATTTTCAAGTTCAAAACTCAATTTCCCAATTGTTTACATAAAATGCTAAAATGGCCTTGGGTCACTCGGGACCCCAAATAAACATGCATACAAGTTTCAAATCATCATACGAACCTACCAAAATTATTAAAATACTGACCGAGGTCATTTACCGAAAACATTGATCGTGGCCAACTCTAGCCACATTTAAAGTCAAAAATTACATTTTCTTTAAAATTTTACATATAAACTTTCCGTAAATCAACACGGACAACGCACGCAAGTCATAAATAATAAAATTGAGCTATGAAAAGTTTCGAAACTTAGAAAAGGGAGCTAGTACTCAAAATAACCTATCAAGTCATTACATTCTCCACCTCTAAAACAAACATTCGTCCTCGAACGGACATAGAAATATACCTGGACTGGAAAGAAGGTGTGTGTATCTACTCCTTATATCGGACTAGGACTCCCAAGTAGCCTCCCCAATCGACTGATCTCTCCATCGCACTTTCACGGAAGAAATATTCTTAGATCTCAACTTCCGAACCTGCCGGTGTAGAATAGCCACCAACTATTCCTCATAGGTCAAATTCTCATCAAGCTGCATCGTGCTGAAGTCTAAAACATGTGACCTATCTTCATGGTACTTCCGACGCATGGAAACGTGGAATATCGGGTGTACCTCTGCTAGACTAGGAGGCAATGCAAGCCTATAAGCAACCTCCCCAACTCTCTTCAAGATCTCAATGGGCCAATAAACCTCGGGCTCAATTTGTCCTTCTTCCCAAATCGCATAACACCTTTCATAGGCGATACTCAGAGAAGAACCTTCTCACGTTCCATGTAAGCCACATCTCGAACCTTCCGATCTACCTAACTCTTTTTCTTGGACTGAGCTATGCAAAGCCGCTCCTGAATCACTTTCATCTTCCAAAGCACCATGAACCAAATTTGTGCTCAACAATCTAGCCTTGTCGAGCTCAAACCAACCAGCCAAAGAACGTCATCGCCTCCCATATAAGGTCTCGTACGTAGCCATCTGGATGCTCGACTAATAGCTATTGTTGTAGGCGAACTCCGCTAGAGGTAGAAGCTGGTCCTACTGACCTCGAAATACATATAGCATGCCCGCTACATATCCTCTAAAATCTGAATGGTCCGCTCGGAATGCCTGTCCATCTGAGGATGAAACACGGTTCTCAACTCAAGCTGCATGCCCAACTCATGCTGCACCGCTCTCTAAAAGTGTGACGTGAACTGCATGCCACGATATGAAATGATAGAAATGGGCACACAGTGTAGGTGGATAATCTCCTGGATGTAAATATGAGCCAATCACTCTCAAGAATAGGATGTCATCACCAAAATAAAATGTGCGGACTTAGTCAACTGGTCCACAATAACCCAAACAACATCATCCCCAAGGTCCGTGGTAATCTTATCACAAAGTTAATAGTGATGCGCTCCCATTTCCATTGCGGTGTCACTAACTTCTGAGTCAATCCACCCGGTTTATGATCTTCATATTTCACATGTTGACAATTCAAACACTTAGAGACATGTCCAACAATGCATTTCTTCATCTTTTGCAGTGATGCTTCAAGTCACGGTACATCTTCATGACACTTGGATGAATGACATATCGTGAACTGTGAGCCTCCTTAAGGATCAACTCTCTCAACCCATTAACGTTTGGAACAGAAATCTGGCCTTGAAGCGGCATTCAAAGTCGACCATGAAATCCTAATCGAAACCCAAATAAATGAAGGGTACTGCATTTTCTCAAATTAAACAAGTTGATTTCTTAAAGAAAGAGAAAAGTCTTATAGCAATTGTCAGTTTGTCACTTATATACAATTGCCAAATAGACCACTTACAATTTTGGATGTAAACCAAAAAAAAAAAAAAAAAAAAAAAAAAAAAAAAAAAAAAAAAAAAAAAAAAAAGCACAAGAGAAAGAGGGACACAGAAAAAGAATAAAAACAGCCCCACCTACAACCGTTTGGTCCAGGTTCAAGTCATTTGGACTAAATAAAGAAATCATTGTTGATTCTTTTGGTAAAAATGTAAAAGAACAAATTTTAAAAAGTCCCCAGTTTCTTTAACTCTCAGTAATTATTAAAAATATAAGCATAAAGAAGCTCATTCCAAACATCAGGAACTCCAGGAAGACACCAATGTATACAATCTGCATAACTATTTGGATTTGCAATCTGTTCTTCAGTTAGAGAGTCCCATTGTTTCCTATAGATAGAAGGGTGACCTTCTTTTCTGTACTCTGATAACTGTGTTATGTTGAGTAAGTGAACATTCAATCTTCTATGTTTAAGTTCATGCATAGTCGATTCCACTTTTTTCATCATCTTTGGATCTGATCCATTTCCTTGGTATCCTTCTTCTTGTATTTGCTCTGTTTCACTGTAACAATTTTCACCTTTCGCTTTGCCCCATTCTTCAGCCCTGTAATCAGTGGCGGAGCGACATATAAAATGGTGGTTAATTTAATACTCTTTGTAAAAATGCATATATAATGTGTATATAGATCAAAAATTATATTTTTATATATATATATATTAAATTTTGAACGCCTCTAATGAATTTTCTCATTTCGCTACTAAAATGCAAGCAAACACCTAAAAAATCACCTTATGCTAATAATTGGGGTTTCCAACGTTGGTGGAGCGAATGAACAACCCTTTGGTCTATGAGGGTGTTTTAGTAAGTTTATAAGATTGGTAAAATCAGCTTATAAGTAGTTTTTAGCTTATAGTGTTTTAGAGAATAAAAAAGGCGGTTATGTTGAAGTAGAGCTGGAACTTTTCATAAAGAATTAGAAAGAGTCAGTAAGAATAGTTTAGATAATACACCAACTTTTATTTAATGAGTACCATGAATCCAAACAGGTCTCACTTAAACATTCTTGAAAGCAACACTATAGACGCTGTGATCTACTTGACTATCATTATATGAGAAAAGGTAAAAGCAAAAAAATTAAAAATACTTGAAAGGACACGCAAGCTGACTCAAACACTATCATTATCAAAAACCAAGAAATTGAAGGGTGAGTGTGTCTTTAGATTACCTTTCATGAACTGGTGACATGCTCATGAAGAACAATTGGGTTTTGGAGCGATTGACATGGATTTCCAACCAGTCAGCCCAAGTCTTCAAGGCCATTTCATAGCTTCGTAACATTTTTACTTCCTTGTAAATTCCATCTGACCTCTCAAATGAACCCCACCTGAGATGATGAATAATGATAATTATAAGTACTCCTACTTAGTAGTTATTTTGATCGTTGACTAGTCACTACCATGATTCTTGAATCTGTCTATACACTGACTGTATAATTTTTTTATATATATAAGATCACTTGAAAAGCAATTATACGTAATTGTTCCTGTTCGTAATAAGTAGAATTAACCTTAATAAAGTAGATCATATGCTACAACCAGGTTCAGATACATTGACAATAAAAATTCTTTAAATTGTCAGTTTATATAAGTTAAATCTTAAATTTACTCACAAGACTTTGATATGGGGGCGTCTCCACCAAAGGTAAGTGTTGAAGACAA